GTGTAGTGGAAATTAAGTGCCCATATAAGTATAGAAATGGGTTAGAAAATTGGAAAACAGATACGGATTTTCCTGTAAATTTTGACAATACAGTAAAGAAAACACACCAGTATTACTTTCAAGTGCAGCAAGAAATGTATATTACTAATACTACATACTGCCATTTTTACATTTGGACCGAAGGAAAAAATGAAAATGATACAATGTTAATTAATGTTCCGATTGATAGGGTCTTTTGTGAAAAACTGGAAACAAAGTTGACAACAATATTTTTTAAATTTTTACTACCTGAAATAGTGTCTAGAAAAAATGATCCTAACAACCTTTTGAGCGATCAAACATACTGCATTTGCAAACGTCCAAGTTTTACACCAATGATTGGATGCGACGGAAAAAACTGCAAAATAGGATGGTTTCATTACAGTTGTATTGAAATAAAAAATGGCCCTAAAGGTAAATGGTTCTGCAAGGAATGCATATAAATAAACTAAAGGATATATTATATTTATTAAATATCTTACTTTGTCAACGACATTTTGGCACTTTTTTCAGAAATAAAAAATCAATAAACTGTTAACAATTATTTAGTAATATAAAATTTACTACTCTCGAGTCTTTATTAGAAGGGTAGGGGGGATTTCTATTAAATTTTTGAAAACTTTCCCACCTACCTTAAGCTTATTAAGACCACTCTGTTTATTAATTTTCACTTGTTATCAACAAAAAGTTTCTAAAACTATCGAAACTAAAAAAAATAATTCAGTGAAAATCGGCCTTATAATATTATACAAAATATATACTAGTAACTAATAAATAATAAAACTTTTAGTATAAATTCTCACCCCCTAGTTTCATTAGATCTTGACAAACCACCCCCTTCCCCTTGTATTAAGGACTCGAGAGTACTTGAGACAATCCAAATGTAAGATAATACAAAATAAAGTTAAAATAAAAAGGTTTTTTACTCCTATGAGCTTAGAGGAACAACACTACTGTTAATATTTACTAATGAAGTTATTGTTACCATAACATCATCAAGTAAATCAACGAGTTAATGAGATAATGTTCTGAAGAATTCGAAATTTTCTTAACCGTCCAATTACCCTTTCAACATGGATTCTTACATGTGCAATTTGACGTGATTCATCAACTTCAGCAGAAGACATCTGCTTTTTTCCTTTGGTAAACTTTGGTAATTTTAAAATCCCACCTTTTGTAGCAAATTCTTCAACAAGTGTAAATCCTCTATCAGCAAGTACACAATCTCCATGGGTTATTTTTTCTAAAAATCCAGATTTAATTGTAATTTCTTTATCTGAAACTCTACCACCCCATCCACGGGATAAAAAACTTACAGCACCTGATGGAGTTATACCAATGAGATATTTAATTGTGTTGTTGTTTTTATAATTTGACCAAGTTTGAGCTCGAGCATGAAGACTAAAAGGTCTTTCAATGAGTATTTCCATGCAATCAATTATTGCAACACAATTATAGAACTTTTTGCGAAAACTTGTTGGCAAATTTCTTCGAAAAACATGCTTTTCTGGCCAAACAATTAAAAACTTAACATTTTCAGCAATAATTGGAAGCCAAGATCTATATATTCTAGTGACTGTTGGCTCAGAAAAACCAAATCTAAAGCTCAAGTCTTTATTTAAAAATCCAAGTTTGATTTTCATTAATATTAGCAATAAATGGTCTTCCATTGGTATATTTTTCATTGGTTTTACACAATCTTTAAACAATGATAAATACCACAAAAATAAATTTGCATTTGGCAAACCAGTATAAAACGATAAAAGTGAATTATCATCTTTTAGTTTTTCAAACGAAATATATTGAGAAACAGATGATGTTATAGCTTTGTTTATTGTAATCTTTAATTCAAAATTATTTTTACTCAAAGTTTTGACTTTAGAATGTAGCTCAGCAACAAAATTAACATCATCAGTCTGAGATTCTAAAAACATAATTATGTAACCATTTATTTTATCAAAGAACGAAAGTAAAATCTTAAAATTAAATTAAAACTTATTTACCTTGATTTAATTTGAAAGGGTCGACTGATGTTACTGCATCCATATTAACTGACATCTGTTCATTTTCAGCTTTTGTTTGAGATAAATTATCTTCAGTATTTTTTTTTTGTTCTTTTACAACTTCTTTCAAATCTTTCAATACTTTGATGTTTTTTTGAAAAAGATTGCTGTCTGTATAAAAAAACAGATGGAACATAGTCAGGACTAATAGGATTGTCTGATTTTTTTGCCTAAAAATAGAGAAGAAAAAAAATTAAAACCTTATTTATTTTATTAAAATAATGAACTTATGTTAAACTAAATAAAAACAAAGATAATAATAATATTATAAAAACTTCTAGTTATCAAAAGAAAGAAAAAATTAAATACCTGAAATAAAATGTTTACTACATAATCTTGCGTTATCAATCATACTTATTGGCCAGTTTTTACGTTTAAAGGCTTGCAACCATAAAACTCTTCTGTTTTTTGATGTTTCTGTATTTCCAAAAGGAATGCGGTAAAAACTCAAGTTTTTATCGCCTTTTATCCTTTTATTCATACACCCTATAGCACAACAACTGTCAGGCATTATATTTTAAGAATTTAAAAAAAACTTTAATCTAATTAAGTTAGCAAGCAGATTAATTATATCAATGTTTGTTTAATAAACGTTCTCAATGTTTGCAAATCGGTTTTTAAATTCCTGCCACCTAGTGCGCATGCGACGGAAATGTAAACATTGAAATTCATCTAAATTATAGATAAAATTCATCTAAGTATAGTAACGGTTTAAAAATTCATCTAACTATAGTAACGGTTTCTGACGTTTTTAATAAAATAAGACGCAAGGGAAAACTAACCGAATGACGAGAGAAATTTATTCTTGTGTCTACGTTTAGAGAATAATATACTCCCTCTTTATTTAGGTTGTTTAATTTGTAATATTTCAATATTGTCATATAAGCTTATTTTTCTGATGTTTCGTTTTTCTCTCGTTTTGACATAGTTGACAACGTTTAATATATTCGACTTTACGTTATTAATATGATTTTTCTTTTGAAATATTTTTAATTACAATTGCTACTTTTTTCTCTTAATTTTTTAGTATAATCCAATTTTTGTTTTATTTTTGATTTTGTACTCTAAAATAATCCTTTATCTCCCTTCCTTCCAAAGTTGCTACACGAATATCAGAAAAATAATACAGAAGACAAAAAGATTTATAAACAAGTTGCAAACAAGATTTTTTGTTCTTTTTATCAGGTAAACCCTTAGTTAATTGAAAAAGCAGTTATAGATAAAATGTATTATTTCTTTGTAACTCAGAAATTTGAAAAATTTTCTCAAAAATCTTTTAAAATAACGGGAAAATTAAAAAAAAAAAAACAGTTTTAGGTGATAGCAAATTTTAAATACACTATTTATAAAAGTGGAAATACGTTATTAGTGAAAAAAAGATTGACAACCTGCACCGTAATTATCTAAGTAAATGTTTTCAAGTTGTTAAATCGTTAACATTGTTTGTAAACCAAATTATATATATTAATAATGTTGATTAATGAGGTTTGCTATCGTCTTTCAAAAAAAAAGTTGCAACATATTTGATTTACTAATTAACACACAAATTTTATTCGATTGATATTTACATGACCTCAAACGTCAGGATTACAAAAAAACTAATTTGGTAAAATTTCTTTTTAAAAAACAAAATTTTATATTTTTAAAATTAAAAAATATTAAATCCTTATTTGACCGACATCAAAATTAAAATCGACCGCGTCGTTTGCCGTCGTATTTTTTTTTTGATATCCTTAGGAATTCCTTTATTTGGTAAAACTAAATGACGCATTTTTATCATTTCGGCACATAACGAGTTTCTCAAGATCTGTTTTCGGATAGTTAATTATGTTTTTATTTGGAATATATCGATCTCTGTTTGGTCAATTTTTTTAGTTGACGTATTGAAATTAATTAAATTTATATTTTAACTTTTAAATCAAGTTTTTTTTTATTTCTATAAATTTAATTATCTAAATAAAATAAGCAAATATTTATTTTTTTATTTGAGGTTATGTTTTTTTTTTTGTGTCAATAAAGTTGTTTATTAAAATCTTCAGATAAATTATTTTGTGAAATTATATATATACAAATATATATATATATATATATATATATATATATATATATATATATATATATATATATATATATATATATATATATATATATATATATATATATATATATATATATATATATATATATATATATATATATATATATAAATATATATATATTATATATATTATATATATTATATATATATATAATATACATATATATAATATATATATATATATATATAACATATATATATATACATATATATATGTATATATATATTATATATATGTATATTATATATATATATATATATATAGTATATATTATATATATAATATATATTTATATATATTATATATATATGTTATATATATATTATATATATGTATATTACATATATAATATATTATATATAATATATATATATATATATATATATATATATATTTATATATATGTATATATATATATATATATATATATATATATATATATATATATATATATGTATATATATATATATATATATATATATATATATATATATATATATATATATATATATATATATATATATATATATATATATATATATATATATATATATATATATATATATATTAGGGTGATTACAAAAATAGTTTGCAAACATAAAGCATCTTGCTTTATGAAGGTCTTGATCTTATTTTCTAACAAGTATGAAAAACTTTTGAATTTGTTTAAAGTTTAAACATTAATTTTATTTGTATCTTTAATTAAATGTCTCAAATTCATTCTTTATTACTCAGAATATTTTGCATTTTTTAATTTTAAAATTTTAACATTTTTTAAATTTGCTATTATACTAAACATTTTGTTTATTCAGTTTTTAGTTCAAAGCATTTTATATTTAAAAAGTATAATAAAATAATAAAAATCTATTAAATTACAATTCCATGTCATCATTTGGATAACATACAAATAAGAATAAACATGTCTCAAGACAAGTATATACGAAAAGGAACTCTATTGAAATGTCCTCATAAGCCTCTAAACCCTTTTAAGGTTAGTGAAGTTTTTTGTATTTTACAAATATTTTAATTTTTCTTTTTTTAAAAAAATATTTTAAAAGGTTTTTTTCATTAAAATGTTTAATGTCTGCTTGTTTAACTGTTATTTAACTTGTTTAATAGTTATGTTTCTGATAAAAATTAAAAACTAAATTTTTATGAGAAAAAATTTCTATCAAGAAATATGATGGCACAATTTATATAGTAACACTATTTTTATCAGATAGTAATTTAGTCATTTTTTAAAATGAACATTTATGGGAGTTAATGGATTTTGTCTTAGCCAGTTTTATGTAATGAAGGGTTTTTATTCAGGATAGCTTCTGAAATGCTTGATGCCTTGTCTCAATTGCTAAAAATGCTTATTTTTTCAAATGCATTTTTTAGCAATAAATATCTAAGAGAAATTACAACAACAATATATATAAGAATTATTAAAGAATAACAAAAAATTAAATTATTTAGTAAAGATAATAATTATAGCATAGAAAAAAATTTTCTATGGGCCAGAAAGCCCACTAGGTTTGATGGAGCATCACCTTTAATTTTTTTTTATTAACAATGATTTTCATTATATTAACATGATTTTTAAAATACCATACCAAACCTTCATTCGATGTAGCAGCATTCCTTTGCGACAGCAGGCTATTAGATAGTCAATATATGTACTGAATCCCCTGGCAGCAGACTTTTTCAGTGTGACATCAGAGATGTTATCTAAACACGCATTCATAGTTATATATAAATATATATATATATATATATATATATATATATATATATATATATATATATATATATATATATATATATATATATATATATATATATTAGCCCTTGTTTTAAATAAAAAACAGCTTAGTTCATTAGCTCGTCATGTTTTTGATGTCATAAAATTATCTTATTTTAAATTTTTTTTATTTAAGGACAGCAAGCCTACAAAAAAATTATTAAAGTTAGCCTAGAACGGAATGGTGCTTAGTCATATGGAATTCATTAGTTCACTCTATATTTCAATACCAAACACCCATATAAGAAAATTAGATGTAGTACAAAAAGAAGCAGCGAGAATCATTTCCCATGCACCACAAAATTCCCATGCTGCACCATTAATTAAAGAACTTGGTCTTAAAGCACTAGCGGATCAAAGAACGGATCATGCAATGAAAATAGTTAAATCAGTTAAAGGAAAATGCCATCCTGCTTTAAATGAACTTATCCAAGTAAACAATGAAGGTCTTTTAAAAATAACACTATCAAATAATACATATGGTAAAAAAAAATTTTGTGTTTTTGGAGCCATTTTGTACAATAAAGAATTACAAAAACAGTAAGAAAAAGACAAAAATTAAAAAAAAAAAACAAAAAAAAACAAAAAATAAAATGACAAAAATTAAAAAAAATTTAAAAAATATACATATTTAAACTTCGAGCAGCGGAAGAAAGACCAAATACTAAATTCAAATAAAACAAATTACAAAGAAGCGCAAAAAGAAAAAACTATAAAGGACCATTTAATAGAACATTCTCCAAAGGCATAGCTGTCTAGCTGTCATCAAAAGAAAATACAAATTTACTACTACTACTACCAACTAAAAAAAAGTTTATTTTACTAATTAAGAAAAGCAAATCTGGAATTTCTATTTTGTTTCAATTTTTTTTTTTTAATATTAAATAATTAAATTTAATATTACAATTTTATTATCATTTAGTATAAACTAGTTGCATTATTTTTTCGACATTTGTATAAACGATTTAAAATAAACTTTTATAAAATATTATATTTTTAAACTACTGTTTTTTTCAAATTAAAACTTATAAATATAAACAAAGATATTGCAAGATTTATATTGCTTCAAGCTTAAATTTAAGCAAAAAAATTAATATTAGAGTTATATCCGTAAAGAAGTTTTTTTTTTAATTAAAAAAAAAATAAATTCTTTATAAGATCTTGATTAAAGTTTCTAATGATGTTTTTTCGTTTTTTTGATAAAGGCAATCGTTATAACAAAACAAATAAACAAACAAAAAAATTAAAATATCAAAAGTAGCGCTAATATAAAATAAAATTTAGCGTGAACTATTTTATAGCTAATAATTTTTTGTTTTGTTTTTTAATTTTTTTAAAAAATTCAGCAATTATTTTTGTTATTGTTTGTTATGAGAAATTGTCTAAATAAATATCCTTGCTAATGGACAATGATAAATAAAATTTTTTATAATATATTTCTTTTATGATTTCTTTTTTTAAATGTGGTATAACAATTTTTTTTCTTTTCTGAATATTTTTGATGAAAAAGTTAGAAAAATAAAAATATTTTTTTTTATCTTATTGCATTTGTAAATAAAAGCGAATATCAAATGTAATTTTTAAGCACACTTTTTTATGTAATCGTCATTCAAACTTTATTAGTGATTTTTATAACCTTGATTACTTCTTTCATTTTACCATCTAAACTAATATCATTAAACTTGTTTAAATATTTAAAAAAATATGATAATAATGGCTTATGTGAAATGGATTAGCACGTATGTAAATGGCCTGCTAATTTACACTTTAAAATAAGGCCTGATATATATCAGTCTTCTCCGTTTGAAATTTACCGCCAGCGCACGAAAAAGCGCTGGCCAGACAGTAATTATTTTTCTGGCGTGTGCGCCAGAAAAATAATTAAAAAACAATTGTTTTAATATCTTAAAAAACAATTGTTTTTTATACCTCTTTAATTAGAATTTGATTAAGAAAATGATTGAAATTTTTTAAGGAGCGTCTAAAAAAGTGGGAGTGTGGGCAAACAAAAAGTTGGCGGGAGTGTGGGCAAACAAAACTGCAAGAGCGCAAAAGCGCTCATTAAACGGAGAAGACTAATATATATATATATATATATATATATATATATATATATATATATATATATATATATATATATATATATATATATAATATATATATATATATATATATATATATATATATATATATATATATATATAAGCAATTTCATGCAGCATTTAAAAACTGACAAAGTTGGGAATAATAATGCAAACATATATACTTCACACTTGAATATAGCAATTTGAAAAAATTGCCTAAAAATGTAAAGAATTAATATAAAAGCTTAAATTTTTTTAGTCCATAAAAGCTTAAATATTGTCGCCCATAAAATATGGGTCTGATAGAGGCACTAAAAAAGACTAACTCTCAGATTAATTTAATCATGGTAAAAAAGAGTAAACTTTACAGAGTTTAAGTAAATGTGTTTGTGTTCATAGATCAACAGATGAAAAACTAATTGTAAGATTCAATTATCATACTTGTACTAGATCATTCCAACATTTGCAATCTTCATAATTGATTTGGGTTAATCTTAGGGACAAATTTTTTATTTTTTTTATCTATTGAACATAGTTTATTACTCAACGTTGTGTTTTTGTAGGTTATGCAAATTAAAGTAGAATATTTTTTCTAAAAAAAAAGTTGCTACCTTTATAATGGGTAACTTTGTATTAGAGATGTACCAGAATTTCGTTCCAACTGGAATTCTGGCCGGTTTTTGTGAATTTTAGGTCATTCCGGTTCCAGCCAGAAATAAAATTTTTCAGGACCGGGAATGCTGAAATTTATTTTTTACCTTTATTTTTTAAGACCTGTGACACAGACTCTGTAAATTAAATCAAAAAATGTCCTACTGGGCAATGATTTAATATAGGTAAACCTAGGTAAAAAATACAAAATTGATAACAAACACTATGTAATTTTAATGAGTTATGTAAGGATATTTAGAAGTTTAGGAATATTGTGGTGCAAAAAGAGTTGCTATCCAGTTTTGGGTAACAAACTAGCTCTTTTTTCATCAAAATGTTACCAGCCTCTGAGAATAGTATAGTCTCATTTTAAATGTTACTTAAATTTTAAACAATTTAAGTAACATTAATAAAGACAAAATAAAGCATAGGATGCCTAATATAGAAAATATTTCAATTTTAATCTAAATGAAAAAATTTTAACTATAAATTTTATGTAGGTTTAAATTTTCAATAAATTATATTTCAAAAATAAAATTATAAGAAACAAATAAAAGCAACATTAGATTTAAATGAAACAAGAATCAAGTAAAGAAATAGGTTTACATACAAATTATATATAGGGTCATCCATTAAAAATACGTATGCTTTTATTTTGACCCTTCTTTCAAATGCATTTTTCTATATGCTTTTTTAAGTACCCCTTATCTTCCTAAAAGTACCTACGCTTTTAACCTAACTACATACCTAACATTTTATGATATTTTTTTTTCAATTTAGTGTCTCCTTTCTTTTATAGTTGACTTCCTGCCCCCCCCCCATATCATATATGCCATTTGCAGACCCCCTCTTTTTATCTGAGAGTACATACTTAATGGGCTATCCCTAAGTATAATTCTCGTTCTTTGTATGCTTTATGCTAGTTTTAACTCTATGTAAAATTTTTTAAAAATTAAATAAACATTTTTATATAAAGGTTGTTCTGATGATCTCTTTTTTTTAGATTTTTATAATTTTTTTTAATTTGCTAGTTATTTTTTAAGAAAACAAAGTTCAAGTAACAGGGATTATCTCTTTCCTGATATTTTTCTTAACTTTTAATTTTTCTGGATATCCAGAAAAATCAAAAAGTGTATATTTTTGTAATATATTTGTTTTTTAATCTTTTTCACTTATAGAAAAATTAAGATTTTGTATAAAAAATATAAAACAACTTAGCTAAAAGCAAATTTAAAAGGAAAATATATTCCAGATTTTTTCTGGATATTTTACCCAAACAGTTTTGCGGGTTTTTAAAATATGACCTGGATAATCTATAAGTAAGGATTCAAAGTTACACTTGCATTTAGGTAACTTTGAATACTATTAAACTAAATGTTAATTTTAATCATTTTGTTCTAAAATGTTGTTTAGATATCTTTGCATTGCTTTAAAATAATTTTTAAATTCATCTAATAAGAATATTTTGAC